AACTATGATTCTGATATTTATTCAGCATGTCTGATGAGAGAATAACTAAACTATATAGAATAATAAAAAAGGACTGGCATGAATCTTTCCAAACAAGGTAGGTTGAACTTTGAATGCTTTTGCAACTCATTAAAAGCATTTTCAAACAGGAAGTGTTTCTAAAACAAAGGAATACGTTTTAAAGAAACACTTGGCATTATTACAGAAAAGTGCTTTTACCCAGAGCGTTTCTAAGAAAAGTACCCAGAAAAATATCCAGAAAGCACCATAGTGAAGAATTAGACCAAGAAAGAATTAGTTCAAAAGCTCACCAAGTTGGACGCGAGTGACCTAAAAAAACATTTGAACAAGAGGAAGCATGGATCTGATGTGAACTGCATTTCTTGGGTAGATGACAGTGAAAGAGACGCGGCAGGACCACGTTGCCTTTAAGAATTATCAAATAATGTTGAAATCCTGCTTCAAAAAACGACTACAGAATCACAGACAATGCAAATGAATCAGCAGTCACAATGAGCTCCACTAAATAATCACAAGGCACGCACACCACTTCTCTATGAGCTGAGAGAATGTAAATAAAAGACGACACAAGGTTGATCTCTCTCCGTGTGTGAAAGAAGGAAATCTTACAAAATTGTGGAAGGGATTCAGAAAACATCATGAAAACTTAGATTCTAATATGAATACAAGAAACTTATAAATAAAAATGTAAAACATATGCACTTATATAATAGCTAAAGCCATTGTATAAAATTCTCTTCCATATTATATAAACACTTCATTTTAAGAATAAGGTATAACACAATAATCCAATGTAATTTCGTTATATAAATTAGAAAAAATAAAAAAATAAACAATTAGTATAGAATAAGCTCCAATTATCTAAGATGTTAGATTATAAGTATCTATTTATTGAAATTTTTTCTACATTATACATATACCTCATTTTTTAAAAAAGATGTAGTATAATAGTCCAATATTGTTGTTACATATACATGAAAACAAAATCAACTAGTAATATAGAATATTCAATCATTTTAGACCTGAATATTGCATTTTGTTATTCATCTTATGTTTCTACTATTTATTAATATTGATAATAATGATATTGAAATACTTATAGTCTAGCTTTCTAATGCTATGCCATTTTCATTTAATCAAGCATTTAATACATAATGAAAGAGGATTTAAATATGCGACTTTGATCAATAAATAATAGGATAAAGAAAGGAATAAAATAATTGAAAAGTGAAGCATGGTGGAAGAAGATCAAATAACGTTTCAAATTTTGATGAGATTGGCACGTCGGTTTTGAGTTCTCATTATTGGCGGAAACTCTATGCGTCGCAGGTCCAAGGATCTTCACTCTAATCCCATACATAATCATACATACTAAGGGGTCACTGCGGGGTCACTGAATTGATCTGGAAGGCTGCAGACAAGCGCCGGGATGGAACCTGTGACAACCACACCGTATTCCGATTCAAACTAATCGCATTCCTCGCGATCAAGTCCATGAGCTCAGCAATCAAAGAAGGAATTTCCAACAAAGCAAAGTCCAAGCGTGGTTGGTAACTAAACAATCATAGCAGTGACACGTAACATCATCATCATCATCTAACAAAACTCTCCACTTCAAACTCAAACGCAATTTGTTTCTTACAAATACAGTCTCTCTTTCTGTTATCGTCAGCAATTCAAATCTTGCACAAGTTTCTTTCAATCTCCCAGCAAATCCAACTCTGTTATTAGGCGTCACCAGACACTCAGCTCTCTTTAAATCCATCCAACTATTTAAAAACCATCAGGTTCCAAGATTCATCCGGAATTCCAAATGGGCACTCATATATCACCCATTTAATCAAATTTTTTGTTTTTCATGGTCCCAAGGTGGTTTTAAGAGGGTTTTCTCTTGGGTATGTACCAATGGGTCAAATTTGGGGAGGCTTGATGGACATGGAAGTGGGGTTGTGAATGGGAGGCTTTGTGTGAGAGGGTTTTGTATTGAAAATAGTAGGGAGGCTATGGAGTATGATGTTGTGATTGTTGGGGCTGGACCTGCTGGGTTGGCTGCAGCTATAAGGTTGAAGCAACTTTGCGGGACAAGGATGTTTTTTTTCGGTTTGTGTTGTTGAGAAGGTGCCGAAGTAGGTGTGTTTTTGGTTTTTAAAGTTCGGTTATAGTGAATTGTTTAGCGAGTGTGTTTATCTTGTGACAAAGTTGATAAATATGGCTTGTTGGACCAGTGTCATATCAATGGGATTGCAAGTTAATTCTTTTGTTCATATGGGATTGTGTTGTCTAAGCTTAGTTAGCGATTTACTTGCTTATCTTGTGTCGGAGCTGCAAATTATGGATTTGTGGACCTGTGACTATCAATAAGATTTGAAGCTTAATTGATTGTGTCATATGGGATTGTTTGTTTAAGCTTAGTAGTTTTATTTGCTTATCTTGTATCAAAAGTCCTTAAAATATGGCTTGTGGAACTGTGACATATCATAGGATTTGAAGTTTAATTTGCTCAAGTTTTTGATCATATTAACTTACCGGTAGGACTAACATACAGTAGTAACCATTGGATTAATTTGGAAGGATATGACATTAATCCAAGCCAATTTAATGGTTATTACCTGTGGTGTAAAAAATTCTTTGAATTTTAAGTTCAGGTTGGAAATTGGTGCATAGGTTATAATGCACATAGCTGAAAATATGTTGGGTTTAATTTACCGCACTTGGGTATTAACTTCATTGAAATATTTGATTATCTCAGTATGTATTTAGCATTGTATTAATAATCAGGCTTATTTTTTATGCTTAATTCAGTGAATGTGAGAAGATTTCTTGTTGAAATTACCATTTGTGGGTTAAATGCTGGTAAAAAGTTACTGTAATTAGGAAATATTTGGGTTGACTTTTACCCAGTCATTATTTGATTTCCTGACACAAGTTAGATGAACTTATTTGTATTATTCATGCAAAGAGTGGTGTTTTCAAGAAAACTCTGTCATTATATGTTGCAATTCAGGATGCTATGTAAAACTTCCTTTACGTCGTTCCCCTTGAACTTAATTTTGGAAAGTTTAAGAAATTTTGTCTTTAAGGTCTATGCAAAGAAATCAAAGATGAAACTAATACACATTTTGAAACCAATGCATTTTTATAAGGTATAGGTAGTATTACTAGGGTGAAGTGCTAGAAGAATTAGTTGTTATAAGCAATGAACCAATGAGACTGCATTATTAAGAGTGTTATGTTTTGTTGTGGAAGCTGATGTCTAGTTAAGGATCGCATTGGAAATAAGTGGGCATGGAAATGACAGATGCACAGTGTCATAGAATAACATGACTTTACAAAGTTTGCTAGTGTAACTAAATATGACTTTGAAAAGAGGGCTTCATTTCAGTTCGCTTCATTTGTTTCCTTCATTTTAACAGCTGAATTTTTCTTTGATGCTTTACCTCGTGCTTGCTTTGTATGACTTGTAGAAGTTTGATCAAGGGTTTCATCATAGCCGTTTAATTTGCATGTCTTCAATAATTACTTTTGACTATGTATCTGGTATTGGGGCATTCATAAATTGATGCTGGCCATCTGTTTTTTTTGTTACAGAATCTGCAAGCTCAGCATAGCAGTTTAATAATCTCGGTTACTGCCTTCATGATTTCCATGTGATTAAAGGTGTCACATCATATCGGGAATGTTTTGAACCGGGCATTGAATGAAATTCTCCCGAATTGGAAACAGGAAGAGGTGCTGTTTACACTGTCTGCTTCTATACTTCTTTCATTTCTACACTATACCGTATAATATGCATTTGACCACCATAAAATCTAATGTAGTTTATAATACATGTGAGAATCATAAATCGGTACACGAAGATCACATGAAGCTTGCTTTTTATAAATGTGCCTAAGTTTGTATATGAGAAAGTTAGTTTCACTGTTCAGCCTTGTTAATTGGATTAAGTATATATATTGACATGCTTTGAAGCTAATTAGAAGTCTATAATAATATGGAATATTTACAATAGTATAGTTGGGACAAAAGTCCCCTTAATTATTCATGCTTTAAAACCCAACGGAATGTACATGACTCGTGATCTGGACATATGCTCTATAGTTGCAAAATAAATAATAGTAATGTGGGTGCTTCACCTGTTGATAAGGAAAAATGAGACTGTCTGACCACTTGTCTATTTTTGATTCAATGTATGATCTTCACCGACCTTTTTGCAGGCACCAATCAGTGTCCCAGTTTCTTTGACAAGTTTGGTTCCTAACAAAAGACCGTGCATTTTCCTTCCATCTCCTTTCAATAACAAAGAAAACTAGTATAAGGTAACTTGTCATGTACATGCTTGGAGTATACCTTTAGAAAATTCTTGTAAATTTAATCTGTTGCTTATTTGCTATCCCAACATTATTAACAGAAATCATGAATCTTGCATCTTTTTTATTTGTTTATTTTGTAGGTACTGGTGGGACTTCAATTCTGAAGAATATACTGAATTATGTAGCTACCAGTTTGTGGTGTATGAAGTCATAGATTTATCTGAAAACCTGGCCAATTGTATTTTAGGCTTATCATCTATATCATGATCTTGATTTACATCAATCAATTCAAATCATATTAGCAAATTTATTCTTGACCCAATGCAACTTGTTCTTATGCTCTCGTTTAATTCTGGAGTCACACGAAAAAAAGTGTGGATTCTGGATCAGAAAGTAGGTTGAAGTATGATGCTTAAACTCGCTATTCCTTTCCTCTTCTCACAAAGCTGGTTTGTAAAAAATTTTCATTAAAAAAATTGAAGTGTGAGCATCTTCATCTCTCAAAAACCTTTCTTGTTAAAATGAGAACTTGATGAGCCATTCTGTTTTCATGTTTGCTTTATTATTTCCCCCCGCTTGTTTTTATAATATCTGCTTTATTTTGCAACTCCTCTTTGCCTGAGCAGTCAAAGATTTGGCAACAATCTTGATTTCTGGGTCTTATTATTCAGCTCAAGTCAGTTAGTGTGTTGGATGGGAGTGAAAGCCGAAGAATTAGGAGTAGAGATATATCCAGGCTTTACTGCCAGTGAGGTAGTCCTACTTCGCCCTTTTATTGATGCTCAATATGAATGGATGTTTACCTGACAAGTTATTATAATTGTTCAGATCCTGTACGATGCAAACAACAATGTTATCGGCATTGCAACTAATGATATGGGAATTGCCAAAGATGGTTACAAAAAGGATACTTTTCAGCGTGGTGTAGAATTAAGAGACAGGTTTCTCTCTCTTTCTCTCACACACAGAGAGGTTCATTTCTTTATGTATCTTCAAGCTGGTGTAGCATCCTGTTTTTTCCTCTCCACCTAATAAAGTTGCATAAATGCTGCCATTGTATGATGGAATGGGTCAAACTTGTCATGCAATTTGATATTTTATCGTGAGTGCGAGTTTGAGCTGCATCTGTCTAAAGATTGAGGTTTACATGAGTATCATTGACTCGAATGTGAGAGGTGGAAAAAATCCAAGAATCTTTTTGAGTGATGTTGTAGTGCCCTTTTTGGTGATGTACCAAGAATGAAACAAGCAAATTAATTGGGAGATAATGAAGATAAAGTGATGGGTTGTGAGATAGGCTTAGGCTTTTGACTTTTGGCCTTCTTCTCCAGGGAATTCTAGGACTATTCTTTGTTCATGGACTTCTAGAAAACTAATTCTTACCTGGAGTTCTGTTTTTTATTTTTTTTTATTTTCCTCTGGTTTATAGCAGATATGTTTTTGCTATTTACTGTTTTTGTATAGTATTTGTTCCTTCATAGATTCTATGTTTGTATGGACATCCAGTCCATTTCATACTTTTATTCTATTAAAAAGAAGAAAAAATCATTGACTTAAAGGGAATGCCTTATTTCAATAGGTTTGGTTAAAATAGCTTCCTTATAGACGAATTTTTTTCTAAAACAATGTGGTAAAAATTTGCAGGTCGGATAACACTTCTAGCTGAAGGATGTCGAGGATCGTGTCTGAGGTAGTAGAAAAAAGCTTATTGCTGCAGTAGCTGCCATAAGGTTCTCAATCCAATCTTTGATGTTCAACCTTTACGCTAACAACAACCAGTTGCTTCAATTTCTTTGAAACAGAAAATAATTAAAAATGACAAATGAGAGAGAAGAGCCATGCACAACATCAGACTTATGCTTTGGGAATAAAGAGGTAATCTAAATTGATATGAATTTCATGATCCCTGGGCTTGACTATATAGGGTTTTAATATATAGTTATTTTGAACTTTTGATACCCTATTACAAATGTCTTTGTTGGTTCATAAGATATTTTAATATCACATGTGCCATCTATCATAATTCACTTTTGCTAGCTACTAATCCTGGTGTGTGGTGGAGACATTGATGAGTAATAATGATGTTGCTTGTTTCTTTTGTCATGCTTGATTATCAGCAGCCTTTACATTTTCCATTCCAAACTTATTATATATCTATATAACTATAATAGTATTTCTTTCCTGTATTATACTTTAATAATTTTCTTTTTCTTAATTTTGTGTTATTACTCGCAAGAGAAGGGTTCTTTTATAGAGAGTTAGAGCAAGTCAACTGTGAAGGTGACCTTTTTTTTTTTTTTTTTCAGTTTGCAAGTTTTTATCAGACTCCTACACAAAGTAACTTTCCGAAATTCTCTGTGCTGTGTTTGATCAGGTTTGGGAAATTGATGAGAGCAAGCATAAATCTGGTACGGTTAATCACACATTGGGTTGGCCTTTGGATCACAAGACATATGGGGGATCGTTTCTGTACCACATGAATGATAGACAGGTATTTGTTATTGTTTTCCTTTCCAATTGATTTTTTCTTGGACACCATTGATTGTTAATTGCCATACCACTTTCACCACCAAAGTCGTTATTGTTATCATTATGAAATTCGGAGATCCTTTATTCATTTTATTTTTTTATTTTCAAATCTCTTGTTATTTTTTATTGATGGAAGATTAGGAACTGTCATTCCACTGTTGCTCTATAATAAAATTTTAAAACTCAAAAAGAGTGTCTATGGATCATATGGTGAGAGATAAGAAGTGAATGTTAAATTTTGCATTTTGGATGCTTGGATGGTGTGTAATTGAATAATGGGATTGCTTATAAATTGATTCAGACAAATAATAGTCTATTGGGTGTGCCCTAAGCAACAATATTTAAAAATATTTACTTGGATTCCTGAATCTTACCATGTGTGCTTAAAGTAGCAGTATATATGGGGATTTCTATAATTTCAAGTACATCGTAATTTTCTGTCTGTTTGTTACAGGAATGCTAGCAGCAGAAGCTGCATTTGGTGCAGTTCATGAATGCTTGAATAAGGAAACCTATTGGGATAATTTAAATATTTCTCTACTTGAATTCTAATATGGTCTCATGCAAGAGTGATGCATCACCAATTTTTATGGAAATGATACTAGTTGGTCGGAAAAGGGAGAATGCAATAAATGTGTATATAGATACTGCCTATAATTTTCAATCTGTGGCAGATGCAGCTTAGGAGCTTTATTTGCATTCTTTCAATATGATTGTTGTTTTTATTACATAAAGCATACATGTTATACATATAAGAATATGATTCTAGTTAAATTTCAGTCTATTCCGTATCCAGTTTTCCCTGGAGGAGCAATTATTGGATTTTCAGCCGGCTTTTTAAATGTACCAAAAATAAAGAGAACTCATACTGCAATGAAATCAGGTAACTACTCACAGGAATCTTTGGCTGTACAGCCTGAGCTTGAACATGTGAATATGAGTACATTGAATTAATCTAAACATGTTATAGTGCAAACTTCACAGTTATGTTAGGTTCTTTTAATCTAGATATTTTAAACTGAACATTGTTATTTAATGATCACTAATGTTATGTGTTTCTTCTTCCTTATAATATATCAGGTCGTTTTGTCCTTTAATTAGTCTTTTTCTCGCTTTTCCTAAATACTTGCAATGAATTGTGAAATAATTAAAAAAAATGGTTTGTCTTCAACTTGATAAAATTATAATAGTTAGAAAATGATGGTAGGTTTTTTCAAATAACCTATCATGGTATCTCTCCTCAGCTCTTAATTATGTTAATAGAAAGCTTATAGTTTCTTATCAAAAGAAGAAATAAGCTTACCCTTAGTTAATCACATATTGATATTGCACCTTTTTGGATGTGAAAGCATTTTCTTGTTAGCTTGGATTAATGCCATACAAATTCATAAAGGACAACTTTTAAGGAGTAATGTCTATTCTAAATTTGTATTGGGGTAGTTCTTTTCAAAATTCCATGTTCTAAAGCAGTGTTCATTTTATTTTAGGTTTTTTATTTTATTTTTTAATATAGTATGTATAATGGATCAACTTGCATTGGGTGGAAAACATTTTGTATTAATTTCTTAAATAGATGTTCTGTGGGATTTTCAATTGGAAAATCCCACTATTGAATATTATTTGGTCCATATGCTCTTTGTGGAAGCCAAATTTTGAGTTGATGGAAGATTAGGAACTGTCATTCCACTGTTGCTCTAAAGTAAAATTTTAAAACTTAAAAAGTGTCTATGGATCATATGGTGAGAGATACGCAGTGAATGAGAAATTTTGGCATAACATTTTGGATGGTTGAATGGTGTATAATTCAATAATGGGATTGCTGAAAAATTGATTCATCTATTGGGTGCGCCCTAAGCAACAATATTTAAAAATATTTACTTGGATTCCAGAATCTTACCAGGTGTGCTTAAAGTAGTAGTATATATGGGGATTGCTATAATTCAAGTACATCGTAATTTTCTGTCTGTTTGTTCCAGGAATGCTAGCAGCAGAAGCTGCATTTGGTGCAGTTCATGAAGGCTTGAATATGGAAACCTATTGGGATAATTTTAAGAATTCATGGGTGTGGGAAGAACTCCGCAGAGCCTGATACTACCGACCTGTTAGTAAAGGGTTTCTCATGTCTTATCGCTTTAACTTTATAAACTATATTTTTTTTAAGATTTCCCACAATTTTGTTTTATTTTGTAATGAATTTAAGCTCTTTAATTATCTCCTGAGCTTTCCTGTTGAAGGCCGATCTCAAGTGATTATTTCTTGCTTTTTTTATTAGTCATTTCTCAAATGGAACACTTTAGTATAACCATCCTAATTCTTCTTTGGATGGTATGGAACATTTTGCTCATATTACTTTTCATCTAACTTGTTAGATGGTTAAAGTAAATTAATACAAAACATATTTTTAGACTGATCTCAGTGGTGACTGAATTTTTGAAAGAGCTAATAAAATTGAATGTTGTTAATGCCATAGAGAAACTAACATCAATCAAGCAAAAAAGAAAAAGAAAAAGAAAAAGAAGAGGAAAAAAATGACTACTCTATTGACGATTGGAAATGTTAATTTCTTCTTTGTTTTAGATGTTCAAAGCAATGATATGTTTATCTTTGTTTGCCTATTTAGGAGCAACACAAATCATGAACATGATCAGCCAGCTCATTTTCGCTTAATGGACCCAAAGATACCAGAACTTGTGAATTTGCCGGAATATGGTGCACCTGAGTCACGATATTGTCCCCGTGCTTCACATATTCTTGACATGGATCAATCTCTGATATATCTTTTTCATCTTAATCTGAAATGAAGGTATGTCTCAGACAACGAGAATCAGCTAAAGTTGTAGATCAATGCTGTAAACTGCTTGCATTGCAAGGTAATGTTTATTACCATTTCCGCAATTCTAAGAGAAGTCGATGAGATTTTCCCAAATTGGAATTGTTTTTGAAAACATAATTTCATCATAGCATTTCATATGTTAGGAATTGTGACATTATATTACACATTATAAATAACTATTTGTTAACTTGGATGATGTTCAGGCTTGTGGCATCAAGGACCCAAAGCAAAATATAGAATGGACAGTGCCAGAGGGAGGTGGTGGTCCAGGCTACTCAGTCATGTAAATATATAAAGAGTTTGTATTTACAATAAGAGCTTTTGACTTTCACAGAAATAAGAAATCAATCTCAGTGCTTACATGTAAAGATCTCATTGGCATTGCAGCAATAATAAAATTAGTAAAATCTGTGCTCATATATATACATTGGTGGTTCCCGAAGAAAGACTAGTAACACTATGGCATGAATCTTTTCTCAAACAAGTTATGTTTAGAAATTGCTTTTGAAAATCATTAAAATCAATTTAATTTTAATTTTATTAATAAAGAAAAACAGCTGAGAAATATATATGAAATATTAGTAAATATTATTTAAAATTGAAATGAGAGAAAGTCCTACTCAACTATTAATATCGAATAGGATACAAGATACAATAAAAACCAAAGAGTTTATTGAAACTTTTGAGCAGAATTGATACACAGCAGAGGTCAAGATTTAGTGAAGTTTGCTTTTATAATTAGTTACATTTTACTAATTACTCGTGGGCATATCATTCTTAATTAAATTCATCTATTTTTGAAGATCATAGTCCAAATTAATATGTGTATATTTTTCAGCATAAAATATATAAAACTTCTTTTTTGAATTTAAAATTACAATTTACTTTTTAACACCTTTTTCTGGTAATATAATAAAAAAGATATCCTCAAATCAAATAGTGAAAAACTAGTTTTATTATATATATAACTCTAATTTCTTTCTTTTTTAGGTTTTTTTTTTTTAACATTTTTAAATAATTGATTTCAATTAGTATGTCTTTGATTATATAGGTTTTTCCTCCTTTGTATATCACCATAGGATGTAATATGGTAAATGTCAAAAGATATATAAATTTAGATGAACAAAATTAAGATATAAAAATGACATGGCTTATTATATAAAAAAAAAAAAAAAAAAAAAGAGATAAAACTTGAGAAGTATAATATTTGTCTTATATATATCTCTTATTTTAATTTTAGCTTTATGGGTAACTTGTATTAAAAGGACAAAATTAAGTAAATGGAAAAGATGAAAACATATTTATTATTTCAACAACATATAATTAATTATTTTCGAGATTTTCCAACCAAAATTTTGTACATGTGAATTTAAATTTGAAGTCACCATCATCATTGAAAGTAACAAAATCATTTTCATCTTCATCTTCATCTTCATCTTCATTATTAACATAGATAGGTATTGATAAGAAATCACGTGCCATCTTAGCTACTGTTGGATAAGTTGAAGATTTGTCACGCCACCATTGTAGTATATCCAACCCTTCATCTAAAGGACACTTGGGATCACTAAAATAGCAATTAAGTTCTGACTCTTGAGAGGATGATGACATAGGATTGTTTGCTTTCTTTACATATTGGTTGAAAATGTCTGTAACATCATCAATGATTCTGTCAAGGTGTGCATCTACATAATTACCATACATCTCTTTGTATTTTACAATAAAATCCTTTTTGAATCGTGGATCTAAAATTACTGTAGTAACTAAAACCAACATAGAACCGTTCCAAAGTTTATCAATATGTTTCCGCAAACGTGATACAGAGTCACAAATGTAACTATTATCACTTCTTTCCAATTGATCCCATTTCGAAAAAATCTGACATATCACTGGGAAATACTCATTTGCGGTTTCATGTCTACGACACGACACCAAGAATTTAACGATATCTGCTTTCCAATCATCTAACGGTTTCTGACGGTATAGTAAAGTTGCCTTGTCCCAACGGCTTAACCTCGCACCTGAACAGATAATATCATATTCAATCCTTCCGAATAAAGAAGAAATCGAAGGACAAATCGGAGTGAAGGAAAGTAAACCTTGTTCATTCAACCAATTGCAAATATTCTCTTCTTCCTTCTCATCAAAAGCTCTAACTGCTATCGCAGAAATTTTTTTGTCTATGTTCCAATCCACAAGCGAAGACTTCACACTTTCAACGGAATCATGATTGTATACTCCCAAACAAATAATCCAATTTTTCAACTCCCAACTATCATCAATAAACCAGATTTTCATTGACCACTTACCATAGTCAACACCCTGAATTGTCCCGTTAAATCGACATGGGAGTTTATCTAAATATCCACGAAACTTATCCTTCTCTTGTTGGTAAACATCAACTATCTCATCCTTTATGCCTTGTAGCCCATACTTAATAATCTGTCTCACCAAATTAAAGTCCTTCAATTCTGGATCAATCATTGTTTTCTCTTTTGCTTTATCAGAAACTCCACTTGGATTTTTCAAAACTGGGCAGCTTTTCAAATGATTTTTGAGGTGCGTGGTTCCGCTCTTACTTGATCCTCCAAACTCTCTCTTACAGTGATTACACTGAGCCAATTCCTTCCCATCTTTGCCTTCATACTTTCTGAAGTCTTTCCAAACCTCTGACCTCCTTTTCCGTTTAGAACCTGGTGAATTCCCCACATTTGTATTCGTCGACATCTCAATCTCTTTATGTTGTTCTCTTATGTGGGTAACTTCCTGTTAATATACAAATAGCTCTATCACCTACTAATTAAACAATAAAAAGCAAATTTAACTGACATGGACGAGACAGAATGAATACAAATATTTTAGGCGACCAAGTCTATTTCTATAGTTTACTAGTGAATACCTTTGCAGAAGAAAGAGATGAACAAAGAAAGTTTTAAGAAAAGAATTTCCAAAAATGATTCATTTGTTTTAGTTTGAAAATATACAAGATGACAACTCACTGATCCTTCCATCAATCGTTGTAAGCTAAAGATGAACAGTTGAGATTAACTATTATAGCACAGGTTATTTTAGATTTCCTCTTATTAATAGGTATAAGAGAGAGTTACCTGCGCATGATGCAGATCTGTTGTATTGATATATGAAGATACACTTGCTTCTTCCCGTTGCGCTAAAGATTCAATTTCCTATAAATTTTAATGATAAAAAACATGTAATATCATAAATTATTTACTTCACCAAAACCATCAAAACAAAGAACCCAAATCTAACTCTAATTTACCTTTTGTATGACGGTAAAATAACTACATGAACCATTTTTTATATTTTATTTTCAAGATTCACATAAGATAATTCTTTATAGGAAGAATATCATACAGAGAGTAAAACAACCACCTCCCAAAAAAAACTGAAGACGAATAAACATGTTAATATGTAATGTTACCTTTATTTGTCGTTGAAGAGATTGAAGATAGGTGATGATTTCATCAAATAATCCAACCTTTTCTGGAATCGAGTTGTACCAGTGTGCTAAATTCTGCAAACGCTTCATTCCCTCACTGATTGTTTCCTTTCCCACCTACATAAAAGTACACAGATAGGAGATATTTTTTTTCCCGAGATTGAAATGGAATTAAAGCAAGAAAACAAATACTTACCTGAAAATACAGATACAACTGAGGATCAAATTCCATGGTTCTTGCTTCCATTTCTCACCTTACAAACGAGCCTAAATAATTTAGTAGCTAAGCTTCTGAATGAGAAAAGCTGGCGATCTTTCAGTTAATATATAGCAATTTTGGTCTGTGAGTGCTTTTTTGTCATTTCCCTGTTTACATGTGGCCTGCAAACGAAGGAAAAGAAGTCAAAAAGAAGCGATCAAATCCTTCTTGCTCCGTTATTTCTTAATTAATTCAAATATAATTATTTAATCTACAACTTGTTTCAAAATAATAATTTTAAACAAGTTTCGAGTATCCAAATTCCAAATAAATTTTAATTTACTCTACAACTTGCTTTAAAATATTACTGTTAGTTGTAACTTCAACTCAGAACCATTCCAATAATTTAAAAAGTTTGAATAGTCGACATAGAATTTTCTTTCCATGTTGGTTCACGCGTATTCAACGATCATTCAGCCAACGGCTATCTATTAAAGAACTGCTTAAATAGCGGCGAAGTTATGATCCTGGGGTAGCAATATAATTATGTTGAGGAAATGCAAATAATCTCCCCATGATGTCTAGCATTTTTTATGGAGTACTCGAAGAATTACTAAAACCATGGTCCGGAGAGGATGATGATATAGAATTGTTAATGCTTTGGTATATCCATTGAGTGTACAGTGATTTTAAAATCATCAATGATTATGTGAAGGTGAGTATTTGCATCGTTACCGTATATCTCTTCGAAAAAATGTTCTATGATATTCATTTTGAATCGCGAATCCAAAATTACCGTAATTGCTAAAACCAAATTAAAATTGTTCCAATATTCATAAAAAATATTCGCCAAAACATGATGCAACGAGATAAAAGTAATGATTTTCACTCTTTCCCAACTGAACCAATTTAAAAAAAAAAAAAAATGTGGCAGACCATTGGGAAATACATATTTACCGTTTTATATATATGATTTAATAAGTTACAAACATCTTTTCTCAAATCTTCAAACACTTTCCAACTACTGCACACTAAAGTTGCCTCATCCCAATCATCTTTGTAAATTTGATAAACTTGAAATCTTCAGTTGAAGGAACGTTAGGCTCATCTAAATATCGATAAAGTTCTTCACCAAGTGAATATGTCTGAGGTCTCCCCAACTGGTCTAGCATTTCGATATAGTCACGTTCCTAATGAGTGTATTTGCTATAAACTTTCCATCTAATTTTTCAAATGAATGGTTCTGAAAATTATTTGCCATGTTAACACCTTGCACCAGTACTCCTTAATATCCATTTTGAACTGCGGCTCAAGAACTACAGCAATTCCTAGAATCCAAGTATGAGTGATATCCCCTGTTCAGAGAGAGAATCACTTACGTATTCTACACTTTGGTTAACATACTAATAACACTTTCGTACCACTTGATACAATTTATTAAGGATGTTACATAACTTCTTTTTCCGTGCAATATAGAAGCAACCTCATTCGACACTTCCCAGCACTCATATATGGAAATTACCCAATCCATTCCTTCTTTTTCAAGTTTAAGGACTTGAAATGAGAATCCATCTTCCCTAATTCCTGAAATGCTTCTCTAAACCCCACTGCACTTCTAATTAGTTCAATGTCAGAAATCAACAATCCAGGAATGCTCTGAGAAGTCACTTTCTTGCCTAGGGACTTAGCTTTATCCACAGCAACTGGAAAATTGTTTCCGTTGGTTGATCTGTCACGGATATTATTAAAAGCAGTCCTTAACTTCTCCNTTAACTCCCCACTTTTCCTACTAATTAGGGGTAGAATGGTCAAATTTCCCTTAGGGAAGAGAATATCTAAAACTTAACAAACATTTTGGTCGGATTGTCGCCGCGGCGAGGAAGCTTCTGTCACCGCGGCGAAACTGTCCAGAAAGTTTCCCGTGGTTTCAACACCTCTTCGCCCCGGCGAAGCTTGGCACACTACAAGTCTTCTATCTTCAACCAATTTCAGGGCAAATATTCAACACAACACACAAACTAATGTCAACCAAACAATATTATCAAGAGACCAACTCAAATAAGAGCAAAAGAAGGAACAATAACTACGTACCTCAAGTGGGGCGTTACATTGTTGGAACCTGGCAAACCAAAAAATGCGTGCCATATCCAAAGATCATGATCAGCTACAACCTCGAGAATAATAGTTGGGGATCCATTACGACCAGCATACTGTCCTGCCCAAGCTGTTGGTCAATTTTTCCACTTCCAGTGCATACAATCTAAACTACCCAACATTCCTGGAAAACCACGTTGTTCACCAATATGAAGTAGCCTTGCAACATCATTAGCATTAGGTGATCTTAGATATCGTTCGGCAAATACCTCAACAACAATACGACAAAGTCTCTTCAAACTTTCAATGGTTGTAGACTCGCCTATTTCAATATACTCATCAGTAGCATCTGCCAGTAGACCATACGCCAACATCTGGAATACTGCTGTTATTTTTTGAAAAAACACACAATACGAGCCTACCGAGCCCATCCCTTCGTTGTACAAAGTAGTTATCATGACCTTTCACCTGATCAACAATGCGAATGAATAAATTGCGAGACATTCAAAATCGTTGGTGAAACATGAAATCATTAAACCGTGGATTCTCGGCAAAATAATCTTTGAACAAATTGCGATCAGCAGTTTCCCGGTTGCTATTGATGACTCTATTACCAGGAATTGATCCTCTACGGATCACCTGGTTGTTATGTTGATTGAGATAGTGAAGGAGGACGAGGTTGTTGTTAGCTCTCATGCGAAGGATTGCTTCTTGCTCTGCATCAATTGCTTCAAGATCATTCATCAATTCCTCATCATCAATTTCATTGTTGGAAAATGATGATGAATTAGAAGATGATAAATGAGATGGACCTCCAAAATTGAAATTCATCTGTGTAGATATATTAGTTGAATGATTTGGAAGTTGATTTGTTGTGAGGTTTTATAGTTGAAGAAAACACTTTTCTAGATAAAAAATAATAATTCAAAAAGATGTGTTGTCCATTCAAGCTTTTGAGATTTGTGGCTTATTCAAAAAGATGTGTTGTCCATTCAAGCTTTTGAGATTTATGGCTTATTCAAAAAGATGTGTTGTCCATTCAAGCTTTGAGATTTGTGGCTTATTCAAAAAGATGTGTTGTCCATTCAAGCTTATGTTATAAAAGGGCATACAACACATTAGTTTTGAACACATCTCTTCTACTTCCTCTTAGAAAAAAAAAAGCATATATCTTCTTCATTCGTGTTACAAAATGACTACACAACGAAGTTCTTCTTACACAAATGAAGAAGACATGCATCTATGTCATATTTATCTTGATATTTCTCAAGACTCGATTTTAGGTATAAACCAATCTAGTGATCAATTCTTGTCTCGAGTTGAGCTTGACTACAATAGTTCCAAACCGGTGTTTCTCACCCAGGTTCGAAACAAAAGATCTTTGCAATGTCGAATGCGACTGATCTTTAAAGCTATTGGCAAATTGAGGGGATGCGTACGTCAAATTGAAAATATGAATCCAAGTGGCGCTTCTGAGCAAGATATTGTGAGTATTTGTTACATTTCATTCAAGCTTTTTTTTTTTTTTTTTTTTTTATCTAATTGATTTTAACGTTATATGTATATTGTTTTGTAGATTATTCAAGCCAAAATGTTACTAGCACAAGATAAAAGTTACGAGAAAGGTTTCAAATTTGATCATGTGTGGCCTATACTTAAGGATATTGAAAAATTTACAGATAATGTTAACGCCGTAAAAGTATTTCAAAGGCAAACCGATAGGTTTGAATCACAAGAATCAGAGACTCCCACTTCAAGTCTCCCCAATCGATGCCTTGTGACATGTCGTCAAATTCTCTAAACATAAGTGATGAAAATATTGGGGGTAGTTCAGCTCAACGACCTATTGGGGTGAAGAAAGCAAAATTTAAAAGGAAAAATGATAAAGAAGTTTTAAAAAGTTTTGAAACTATTCAAGAAGAAAATCGATAGCTCGCTGCTATTTTCAATCGGGGCAACTCAGCTAGGGCACAAAATTATGAAATCCAAATGAAAAAATTGGCTTTGGCAGAATATTGAGAAGATAACAAAATTTTATTCAAGGAATTGAATTCTATAACCGATCCAAGCCTACGTGAGTTTTTTCAAAATGAGTAATTAAGAATTATGCAAAAAAGAGCTCAACAACAAGGTCAAGGATCTCAAAATAACTCTAGTTCTTTTCAAAATTTTGATGATCTTACTGGATCCGGAACTAATCTACCGGAATACTAAATTGTTATTTGAGTTTATGTTGTATTTTCTTTTAATTTTAGTGTTTTTAAATTAGTGTTAATTTTTATTTTGAGTTATTGTAGTTTAATATTTGCATTGAATAAAGTTCTATTTTTAATTTTTCATCATTTTTTAAATTATATCATTATTATTATAAATAATAATCAAATTAAATTAAATACAAATACTCAAATTTGGTGTGATTTTTGGTGTAAAATTTAATACTCAAATTAACTTAACAAAATTAAAACAAAAAACAAAAAAAAGCAAAATAAAAATATATATATATATTTTATTCGCGCTACAGTGTTGCGCCATTTTGGTGTGGTGCTACAGTGCCACGCCAAATTTGGCACAGCACTGTAGCACCACGCCAAAATGGCATGGTGTTTGGCGTGGGTTGGAGCACCAACCCACGCCAATTTGGTGTTTTTTACGCCATTTTGGCGTGGGTTGGAGATGCCCTTAGTGTCAGGTTAGCCAACAAGGAAGTGACCCATGTTTGTCCAAATAAGAAAAATATTATTTCTTTTGGTTTAGACCACAAAACAAATCAGGAAAAGAAACTGTATTCCCTAGGATTACTTAAGAATTCTATGACACATGTAAAAAGTCCTAAAAAGTTAGAGATAAAGATAAATAATATCTTTTTTACTTTATTAGACATGCAACTCGTGCTGAGCAGCAAATATTTGAAGCGAGAATGTAAGCACAAACTGTTGTGCACACACACTCGAAATGAACCAAGCCAAGACACAAGTCTAACAACCAGTGTGCACGCAAAACTGATGTGTA